TTAAGACAGAGGCATGTTATGGGAAATCTAAGGTTTATTTGAGTTTCTTTTCATATAATTATGTATTAGATTGAATGTATGGCCTACCTACTAACTATAAATATACCAATCTACTAGCAGAGTACCCGTCCTTCTTATGGGGTTGGCATATAAGTATAAAATGCTTATTGTAGTTATACCATATATAAAAGGAGTATAGACTATAATCAAGAGTTATACTCAAGCTTTGCGTATGCAATGGGCAGGACACAGTTTGATAAAATTTGCTTCTTTAAATTTACAGTTTACATAAACATAGCCATTAACTTATGTTCTACCACTTCACCTAAACAATAGAGAAAAAAATTATAAAAATCCACAAAATATCACAAATTATTCATGAAATTAGAAACGCAAAGATAACACAATCCTACTTTGACATTTCTCATTACTATCACAGTTTTTTTGCTGCTTAGTTCAAATGAGCTGTTCTCATAAATGCAAAATAAACGGTATCAGCAATTTGACACATACTTTCTCCCATTAGCTTGTCAACAACCTTTATCATAGGTAAGCGATGATAGTGGTAGGCCTATTTAATAGGTAAAATCTCAAAAGTTTCCATTATCCCATTACCCATTATCCATGATATTATATGGATTAGCCACTTTGCCGTTAATTAATGAATTAAAAACCATGACAGATACAAACCAAGTATGGCATGCGGATGACTCATCATGTCAAGAAAAACTTTATAATGTGATGAAATGGTGAGAGAAATTACAAGAAATTGGGCCTAAATATGGTTACTACCCACAAGCTCACAAAACCTGTTTGATTGTTGGATCTGAACCATCAACATTAGACCTATCCAACATATCAGGATTAAAGATTGTTACTGGGAGTAGTTATTTAGGAGGATTTATTGGATGTGACAAAACTGAAAAAGATGTCTTTATTAAAAAGAAGGTAGAAAAGTGGAATAGTCATTTGGTAAGTCTGGCGAATGTAGCTGAAAAATACCCACAATCTGAACACATTGTTGCCACAAAATCAATACAAGCTAAATGGATTTTTTTTTTCAAAGAGCTGTTGAAAGTGAAGACATTAATTTTCATCCAGTAAAAAACTCAATAGAAAAAAACCTATTTCCTGCTTTATTTGGCTCTCACCTAAACCAAGATGAACAAAAAATATTACATCTGCAAGTAAAAAATGGAGGAATTGGTTTAGTGGATCCTACCGCTCAGGGAAAAGCATTGTTCCGAGCTTCAAAGAGATGTTGTAAATTCATCATAGACTCCCTAAAAACTAAGAGGAAAATAAGAATGCAAGAACATGAAGAACATTTGATTATCACAAAAAAGGACTTGAAAGAGGAGAGAAGATTAGGAGAAGAAAACATTTTGAAATCGACTATTCAAAATTTTCCTCTAAAACAACAAAAAATTATCTTGCGAGGAGCAAATACTAAAGCGAAACACAGTGGATGGCTGTCATGCATTCCTCTGAAAAAACTTAACTTAGATCTTTCTCCACTGGAGTTCAGAGATGCTCTTGCATTAAGATATGGGAAAACTCCTATACACCTCCACTCTTCATGTGATGACTGTGGCAAAAACTTCAATATGGAACATCCCCTTAAATGTTGCACAGGTGGTTTGATAATAAGAAGACATAATGAGGTAAGGGATACCCTTGGAAGCTTGATGGAGCTAGCATGGGGAAACTGTGTTCGAGAACCAATGATCTCTGAGCAAGGGTCATTTGATACTCCAGCACTAAAAGCAGACTTTGCTTGTAGGGGTGTATGGGAGGTTCAGACGGAAGCATTATTTGATGTACGTGTCGTTGACACTGATGCTCCATCGTACTTGAACCTCCCATACGAAAAAGTGTTGGAGAATGCAGAAAGAGAGAAGAGCAAATATTTAACAATAACAGAAACCAGAAATGCATCTTCTACCCCACTAGTCACGTCTGTGGACGTAATGCTGGGCAAAGAGTTTCAGACCTTGCTCAGAGCAATGGCAGAACGCCTAACAGAAAAATGGAAGAAACCTTTTTGTGCGACAAGGGCCAGCAGCATGTGTCTAAGGAGGACAAGGAAGAAGTGGAGGACCCTTAGAGAGTTTGAAGATGGGGCTGGAGTACCAGTTATTTATTAATTTAAATAGCTAATGTTTTATTATTTTTCCATATCAAAATTTTGAATTATATTATTTAGTATTAAAAAAAATTACAGATGACTTAAATTAATTGATATATTTACATTCTTTCAAAATGTAAACATGGAAAATTTGGAAGGCCATGGGAAATGTGAAATTAAATGATATAATATTGCATTGTCATCCATTTGGGGAGCTATGTTTCAAATTTAAAGTCTCTAGCTCATCGGGAACTTTGTTTAAAATTAATATCAAAATTTGTAGGAAAGCGACTACCGAGCTAATAAAAACAAGCCCATGCCCATGGGGCGTAGCACAAGGGAAATATGAAAATTAAATAATATTGCATTGTCATCCATTTGTGAGCTATGTTTCAAGTTTCAAGTCTCTATAGCTCATTGGGAACTTAGTATAAAATTGATTGCAAAATTTGTACCAGACAAGAAAGCGAGCTAATAAAAAACGTTTTAATATATAATTCTGAGCAATTTACAGACAAAACTCTAATTTTATTTATGAAGATTTATTGTTTGTTTGTTTACTCTATTACTGAATTATTAATTATAATTATGAATCTTTGATTCTCAATTCAATCCTCATTACTGTATAGATGTTTGCATTACCACAAAGTTATTGGTTTTTGTTCTGTCACACTGTTCAATGCAAACACAAGGTTGCCTGCATATTCCAACCATGGTAAGTGTGTGTAACTTATTCAGTTATAGGCTAGTTTGACTAGCCAGAAAACCGGGCTGACACTAACAATGACAGGTTTTTACTTTCCTGACCCTATTTTCACAAGGTCAGTTTGTGTGATGTATTTTCCATGGTGGCTATTTCAGTGACATCCATATCCATGTTAATCAGACACAAGAACAAACACTGAAAATCTTCAAAAATATTGTTCAAAATGGTTCTTTGTGCTGGAAATATATAAACACCTTACCTACCCTATGTTAAAAAAATCTAAAATCGTATAACTCATTGAGCGAAGCTCTTATACGTTGACTCTTATGCATTTCGTAATATGCAATCTCCTCCTAGACGGCTGAAGTAATCATTTTCAAATTTTGCATGGTGATAAAGACCATATATATCGGTGAGTGCTAACAACTATATGGCGTTAACTAAAACTCTCTAAGGAATCCCCCCCACTGGCTCTAAAAATTTGTATGTAATCTTTATGGACGCAGTATTTGACACAAAAACAAAGACACAAGATCAGCTGTTGACTTATTAAAGGACTTAACTGAAACGGCTACTTTAAAAAAGGTCGTAGGTAAAAGGAATTACTGTAACTGTTATCACCGATATTAGAACAGAAACGGTATGGTTCATAAACATAAAAAATGATGTCACTAGCTTTTTATTATAATAATAGTTGTTTTATTACAAATCCAGTTATTTTATTATAATAAACCTTTTAATTGGAAGTCAACTATACTTTTTATACTAAATAAATTGTTGTTAATTTAATTCCCTCATCAGTAGATTGAAATATATATAAAAATAGTCACACAATGTCCACAAAATGTCAATATCAAGCAGCTGATTCGAATCCTACCTGGTTATTTCTAGTTATGTTTAATTTTTTTACTCCTATAATAAAAAGTGTTCCAATAGTTACATGAATAACGAAACCCGGTTCTTATAAAAAAAAGTTGACCCATAAATTGAACTAGGTATATGTTGCTTGAAATCGAGCAATCGCAAAGAAGTACATAAAGGAGTTATTTAAAAACAAATAACTTGTTTAAGAACAAATATAATTTATAAATTCCGATGAGTCTAAAAGAGTCAACTCAAAGATTACGTAACTAATGATAATACTCACAATGTAACTTACCAGTTCAACATAATCAACATTTCTAGTAAATATTTTATCATGTTTCAAAAGCTGATCTGGCTTTAGCATGGTGGAAGGAAAAAAACATAGGTGTGCTATTCCCGTCATATTCTGATGTCACTTGGATTGCAAACAAAAGATCACCTGATTATAACTGTCAAATTAGTATATGTATTTGTTTTGATTTGGTTGTTATTGTTATATCATTATTGTTTATAATGTGTGTTTTTATAAAAAAACATTAACAATCAAATCAAAACAATTACATACTAATTTGACAGTTACAATCAGGTGATCTTTTGTTTGCAATCCAAGTGACGTCAGAATATGACGGGAATAGCACACCTATGTTTTTTCCTTCCACCATAGGCTTTTAGTGTGTTGTAGAAATGTTTCCCACTTATAGCCACAATAGGTTGTCCATGTTGGTCTTTGTCAATGATAATGTAGTTTGCGTGGTATCACCCATTGTCGCCAGTACGTTTACAAATTTCAGTCTTTATTTTAATAGCACCAAATAACCATTAACTACCTGATTTTCTGCATAACCTCTCTGTCACAATTTTACAAATAACATATGTTCTTCTTCTCACTTTAAAATTCTGACAACAGCTGGAGTTTCATAACAATATTTGTTTCCCATGTTAATCTTATGGAGAAATACGAAACTTTAAAGGGCCCCAGGTCCTCACTCTCTAATTATTTCCCTAAAAAGAAAGTTTCTTGCACAACTTCACGTTATGCTCTTTCCAATGACACCAAAAACATGTCAATCGGTTCAGTAATTTCAGAGAAGTAATTGTCACAAAAACCTGCTTGCGTACCTATTTAATAAGTATAGATACAAAATTAGGTACATCAATCTCCTTAAAACCAAATCACAAATCCTTCAATCACTCAAAAGTCACAATAAATCATTAATAAAAACACAAACATAAGCTGTTATAAACTTTAGAATATTGCTATGCCTTTTTAATAGTGTGTCATCAAAATATATAAAAAAAACATTTCATTTCATATAATTTTATTCATTTCAGTACATCAATACAGGAATAGCAATCTGGAAATGATTAATTTACCAAGTATCGAAATATAAGAAAAGGTTTCTACTGACTTATACAATCCCCGCCCATAGAACAGGCACCCTGCTAGTTAAATATCAAGATATCTCTTTTTACCCAAGACAAGGTCAGTTAGTGAAAGTAATCATTTTAACAAAGATAATAATAGTTATTTGTGCAACTAGTGAGCAAAGTGATAAATTGACTCTCTCGAGAGAAATACTTACTCACGAGCCGTAGGCGAGTGAGGAATGGTTTCTCGAGTGAGGCAATTGCACTTTGCACTCGAGCTGCACATTATATTTTTCCTACAGTTACCATAAAACAAATAAATTGGTAAAGAAACGTAACATATTTTTACACAGAAGTGAACTTTTAATATGACATTTAATGATACAACAGTAAAACAGCTGACCAGCTGATTTACAGCCAGTGCTGCCAACGTATTTCGCGCACATACGACCTTGTCTGCATGTTACGCGCTCACTATTTTGTGCCTTCACGTTGCAAATCTGGAGTGAGACAAAGTAATTAGAGTGAGACAATGTTAACATTGTCTCACTGATGAGCGAATTGGCCACTTTGCTTTCTCAAATCAGTGAGAGAACATGTACATTGTTAGGTAACTGTAGGAAAACAGTATTTTTTTACCAGGCAGAAGTACAAACAAATATTAAAAATGTAAGAAAACATCTTCATAAAAACAATAAAATTATCTTAATTTAATAATCTAAATGAGAAAAAAATTTAAATACTGATGTTCAAAATAAATGTTAAACTAATCAACATAATAGATCTAAACTGATTTGTCTCCACTTCTTCAGCCTCCTCTCCCCCAACCTCCATGCCTCCATCGCCATCCACCCTGTCATCAGGCCTGGATATAACAGAACAAAAATTAATATTAAAAACAGTATTCTGAACAGAACAAGAGTCTTTTTATGCATACTTCTATCATTATTAAATGTACTCAGTGGCGTACTGAGGGGGGGGGGGAGGTTTGCACCAGGCCCCACACCAACATAGGCCTCCAAATCAGGGCCGTATTCCCCTGACGGTGGACACTGCGATTGCCAAGGGCTTCGGCCTGGGAAGGGGACTCACTTGGGGCCTCAAAAGAATGCTTTTTCTCTTGGAAAATTTTCCCACAATCTGTTAGAATTAGGGGGTACAATAATCCAAGTTTGTCTTGTATTCTCATGATAGCCGAAAGCATCTGCAAAGATTGCGTGATCGAAATTTACGACTACCAGCGCGTAGTCGTAAAATATAGCCTACATTTCCTAAAAAACAAAAGCAAATTTTTGGGCACATCTCCAGTTAAAATGCTGGTTAAATACTAGTAATTCAGGAGGGTTATGCGACATAGGCTTGGGGGCAATGGACACGGCCCTGGATTTATAAGTATTAAATTTAAGTAAAGGGCAAAACTTACCATTAGTTAGTTCTCTTCAATCTTAGACTTTACTTCGCCCCATCCTCCATCTCCTCTTCCTCTGACACCTCTCCCCTGTATTCTCCAATGTCGGAGGATATTAATTACAACGCCCCCATTTTACTGGTAGGCTTCAGTTCTGTACAGAAATATTGCAAAAAATAGTGTTATACAAATACTTTGAGTCCAACAAATAATACAAGTCTGTACACTCCTTTCTATATTTGTGATATTCAAATAGGTACAGATAATAGGAAAATGTTTGAGCAAATCTGGGTCAAGTTAGTATACAAATATTATAATTTGTAACAATAATTTGGTTTAGACAAAATAAATTGGTTTAACACGTTCGCTACCACAATTATATAAAATTTACGTTTGCATAAACTAGCGACGCAATTGTGCGTCGACTCGTTTCTCACAATAGACCACCGACGCATATTTGCGTCAGCTGATCATATTGAAATAGACTAACGACACACACTTGCGTCGGTGTTCAATGTTATTAATCAGCGTATTTCTTAGCAACGGTCTATTTTAAAGTCCTGATTTTATCGTATCAGTCTAGAGGGATATCTGCCGCAAATGTGCGTCGCTTGGTGTGTATGACGATTGGTTACGTCACACAACAGTTGGCAAAATTGTTGTTTACATTGTGCATTCCGCGACATCTCAGAACAGATGTAAACATTATAACCTTTGCAGTTTTGGCGAGTGTTTGGAGTTTCTTTATTTGTTTGAGTAAAAGCTTGAAACAACCAAATTTACAACGACGCTTAAACGTGCATGGCCAGGTCTATCGAAACAAAAATGTAGGTAATCTTTTTATCTGGATTTTATTAAATAGACTGACCGACGCATATATGCGGCGTTTTAAAATTTGCTCAAAACGATAAATAAAAACAATATTTTTTGCTTACTAATTCACTTAAGGTCAATATGAAGTCAATTAGTCCATTCAAACGATATTTCTCTTTTGGTCTGTTGGCAATGTTATTCCTATATCACTTGGTCTGTAAGCAACGTCATGAAAAAGATCATTCCTTTTGGTCTGTAGGAGTGACCGGACCGACGCATATGAGCGTCGCTCGGTAGCGAACGTGTTCAACATTAATTCTTTGTTATTTCCCAATTTGCAAAAATGCAAGCTCTAGCCTAATTAATACATTTTCAAACAACATGTTTTGAGATGTAATCCAAATGCATTTTAAGTAGGGGCCTAGTTTTGAATGTTTATAAAAAAACTATAAATTTGCATAAAGATTAATAATTATCCTTATGTTCCACCAAAAACTATTAATAATAGTTTATTTGTGTAGGTAACTAGTGGGCGAAGTGGCACTTTGCTACACATGAGAGAAATGTTTACGCACGAGCCGTAGGCGAGTGTGGAAAGTTTGTCGAGTGCAGCAATGGCAGTTTGCACTTGTGTTACACATTATATTTTCCCTACAGTTACCATAAAACATATAAATAATTAGTTGTTCAAACTCTGTTCAACACAAAATGCAAATGATTCATGTCGATAATATGGAACCCACCCAAATATGGACAGTAGGCCCTCCGGATAACACTTACCAAAGTACCGATTTGAACTTTGAATAACTTAGTTAACAAACATAGCCTAGAATCTATTACAAAGGGGAAAGAATGTTGACTCACCTCACTTAAGTTATGGTTAGACCAAGGAACATTATCACGGCAGTATGGTAATTGCCTCCAGGGTCCACAACTCTGGTCTCTCTTTCTCTCTCATCTGCTGTGATGTCGATGGCAATGTCGTCCAGAAAGGTTAGTCCTCTTAACTTGTTGGTTCAAGACAATATTTAAAATAGAGACCAATTTGGGTTCAGGTCAAATTACAGCCTTTGCTCCAGGATCATCTATAAAATTAACATTGATGTCATCAGCAATGAATGATATAATCCAAGTCTAGTCTTACACCAAATACAAACAGCTCTAGAATATTTTACAGCTCTTAAGTTTACGTCCTACACTCATTCCAATGAATATATTTCTTTAATACTTTCTTTCTTATTACTTGGCGACCATACAAAGTAGGTATTTTAAGCCAAGTACGAATGGAAATGAGTGTAGGATCAGGATGAGTGGCGCGATCTTGTAGTCTTGTTAGTGACTAAGGCCGACATTCAAAGATTCAAAGATTTACAGGGTGACTGCCGGGAACCGGACGAATTTGCAACAGCTGTTACATTGTTGCTACACGTGCTAGGGAGATTGAGGTTATGTCATTGTTTTGAGTGAGCTTTACCATTTTAGTCACGATAGATCAGTGGTCAGTTCAGCATCGTGTTTTGCATATGACACATTTATTAAAAATGGCGAATCCGTTATCAAAACACAGCGTGGCTTCCGACGCCACTTTAATATTGCGCGGAATGACACGGTTCTAAGCCGAAATACATTGCTAAGATGGGTGCAAAAGTTCAGAACAACAGGAACATTATCAAAGAAAAAGCCACCCGGTCCAGCAAGAACAGTGAGAACACCAGACAAGATCGCCATAGTGAGAATTGCTTTGATGAGGAGCCCGGGTCGCTCTGCACGAAGACACGCACAAGAGCTACGCATGCGCTTCATGCTTTAAAATCAGATACAGGTGGTACAGCAACTGAAAAAGAGGGACTATGGACAAAGAGAAGATTTCACAGTACGTATGCAGGTGTTGTTTACTGATAATCCTGATGTAATCATGTTAATGAGCGACGAAGCTCACTTCCGCCTAAACGGTTCAGTGAACAAACAAAACTTACGATATTGGGCTCCTGAAAATCCATGTAACTTTCATGAAAAACCACTCCACTCTCCAAAAGTAACGGTTTGGTGTGCTGTAGGCCACTTTGGGATAATTGGTCCGTATTTTTTTTGAGGAAAATGGAGTCACAGTGACAGTGAATTATGCACGCTATGTTCACATGTTGGAAACATATCTCAAGCCACAACTTCGGAGGCGAGGAATAAACGTGAAAAATGTTTACTTCCAACAAGATGGGGCCACAGCGCATACTGCCGCTGCATCGATGTGAGTTGTGAAGAACACGTTCCCTGGCAAGTTGATTTCACGTTTTGGTGACGTGCCGTGGCCGCCATGGTCACCAGATCTGTCGCCCTGTGACTATTTCTTATGGGGGTATTTGAAAGCTCGTGTCATGTTCACAAACCACGAACATTATTGCAGCTAAAAGATGCAATCACCGAAGAGGTGAATTTGATTGGACAAGACATGTTGATGAGAGTGCGTAATGATTTTCTCCAGAGGTTGGAAACCTGTATCCAGGTTAACGGCCATCAGATGCATGATATCATCTTCAAGAAATAAACCCAAACTAGGATAAAAGGTTCCATAAAACATATGTTTTTTGAAATGGTATGTTTTTACCAATATATATTCAACAATTAAATAATTTTACTATATAAAATAAGGGTGTACTATTCATTTAAAAAACGTCCGGTTCCCGGCAGTCACCCTGTATTTACCATTAAATATTTACAAAATACAATAGGCTTCGTCATGCTTATATCTAGAACAGTGCAAATCACAAATCACATGCAAGTGCTTAACAAACTTACATAAGAATGACAAACAATATAAATAAGACACCTGATTTGGAAAAATATAAATATGAAACCTGATTTGGTCCGGATGGAAGGTACAGCAGTTAGGGGTTTAATAGGGCAGAAGAGGTGTTGAGGTTGGTGTTGTAAAATTCATTAGTGTGGTAAAAAGGATGCAGAATGAGCCAAGACTTCATGACCTGAGTGAATCTTGGAAGGGGAAGGTTTCTGACGGTGACAGGCAGCTTGTTAAAAAAACGTATACCTGAAACAGGAAAAGATTTCAAAGTTTTTTCAAGCCTAGTTCTGGGATAGAAAACAAATTTCTATTTGACCTTGTATTATGCTCATGAACCTCACCAACGGATGTAAATAAACCATTTCTTTCCTTTATAGCAACAACACAATGAAATATGTATAGACTATATACAGTTAGGACCCCTTTCTCTATGAAAAGAGGCCTGCCATGATCAAGCCAACTAGCACCTGAAATGACTCTAATTGCTTCCTTCTGCAGCAATAAAATTTTACTTACACTTGGACAATGTCCCCATAAGATGATTCCGTAAGTGACATGGCTTTGAAAGAAGGCAAAGAAAGCCTGTCGTACAAAGCTGTTTGGAAGCTCAGTAGCAAGCCTCCTTAACAAACATATAACTCTACTAAGCTTACTACATAGTTGATCAATATGAGCGTCCCAAGACAATTTGGGGTCAATTGTGAACCCTAACAACTTTACTGGTTCACTGATTTCAGAACTGTTGCAAAGACTAAAAACTATTTCCTGGGTCTTAGAATTATTGAGTGAGAGCTTATTATCAATAAACCATTGTGAAGCATTACTAAACAATTCTCTTGTTGAAGTTACAGCTGCCTGCCAACTGGTGTTACTAGATACAAGTGTTGTGTCATCTGCAAAGAGCAGGACACCATCCCCAACTCTGTGGTACAAGTCATTAATTGATACAATGAAAAGAAGTGGCCCCAGTATAGAGCCCTGGGGAACTCCGTGTTTTACATGAACAGGGGTAGACATTCTACCGTCCCAGCTAACAACCTGATGACGATTGTCAAGATATGATTCAATCAATCTGAGTGCACCACCCTCTAGTCCATACTTCTCTAGTTTCTCGAGCAAGATTTTGTGCTGAACGCAATCGAATGCACGAGATAAATCACATAGAATTGCCGAAGCAGATTGCTTGGTTTCAAAAGCATTGATAATTACTTGAACAAACTCTTCGACAGCCATTGAGGTTGATTTCGCTCTGCGAAAACCAAATTGGGCCGGTACTAGAAGGTGTTGCTGCTCAAAATAATTATAGAGCTGACTGAACATAATAGATTCAAAAACTTTGGCTAGTACAGGAATCAAGGATATTGGCCTATAACTAGCTACCTCATTCAAAAGTCCTTTTTTGTAAATGGGCACGGTCCTTGACATTTTAAGTACCTGAGGAAAAACTCCCTCCAAAAAACATGCATTTAATAGATACGTCAAAATTGGGGCAATTACATGTATAACCCGTTTTAACAAATTGGGGGTCAAGTCGTAAATATCTTTACTGTCAGATGCTTTAAAACTATGAACAGTATTAACAATATCAAGTGAATTTACATGATTCCACTCAAAGTGAGTAGCTACAGCTGGAATATCATTTGCAATGTCACACAGGTTAAGGTTGGATCTAGGTACATTTTCCAGAATGGAATCCACCGAGTCTACAAAGTATTGATTGAAATCATCTGCTGTAGCAAAGCTGGAATCAGCAGATGGACGTCTTGACCTGTTCCTGTTGATCAGGCTCCAGGCAGCTTTGCAAGGGTTAGATGCTTCAGAGATAAACAGAACATTCGCATTTATCTTAGCTTCCTTTAGTTTTTTGCGGTAGTCTCTCCTCAGATTACGCAACAAAGGTAATAGATGAAGTTCGGTAGCAGCGAGGTCGCTAACAAGGACAATGAAACCTCTTAGCCTAGCAAGCTCCGGAGTAAACCAGTTCTTTACTTTGGGGGAGTTACTCAATGGTTTATTATGAGGTTTCTTAGGTTTTATGTTCTTGACCTTTTTTGGGAAATATATTTCAAAAGCTTCTTGAAATTTCTCAAAAAAAAGAGAAAAAGCATCATTTGCTGTTAGAGTCTTTACTACATCAAACCAAGACCCAACATGCGTAGTAAGATAAAGAGAAAAAAGTTCAATTGCATACTCATTGACTTCTCGGTAGGAAACACTTTTAGGAACTAGGCCTATATCTAATTCATGGTTAGACTGTCTATTCAGAAAAGCAGTAAGAAAAATATGCTTGTGATCAGCAATCTGATCATCACTGACCACAACCTCATAGTCCCACTTATTGAGGTTAGTAATAAAAGAGTCTAAAGATGCTTTACCTCTGGTAGGCAAAATCACTGAACTGTAGCAGTTAAAAGTTCTCAAAATATTCAGGAACTCGGGTGATTTATTCTTAGAACTGAGCAGGTCTATGTTGTGGTCAGTACCAATCAAAACAAACATGCCTAAAGTCAATATATAGGTTAGACACTTATCAAGTAGTTCAAAAAACCTACCCACATCACCATTTGGTGATCTGTACATGGCCAACACAATTAGGGAAAGGCCTTGGAACAACACACCTGAAAACTCAGCATGAAAGTCCTCACAGTACTCGCCGAGATCAAGTGGTTTACAGAAAGGCTTAAGCCTATGGTCTATGTACACTGCGGAGCCGCCACTACAAGATTGTCTACAGAAGTAAGCAGCAAGCTCCATATTACCCAAAAAACTGAAAGAATCAATCTCACTATTTGTGAGCTGATGCTCACATATACACATGATATCAATGTTATTTTCAGAGCAAAGAATCTCTAGTTCAAGTGTTTTGTTTCTTAAGCACTGAATATTAATTCCACAGAGTTTGAGGTTATGTAGGCTATTCACTGGTACATTAGGCCCTTCAGATAAAAAGTTGTTATTATCTAGGACTGAGGGCTCTGTTTCCCTAAAAAAGTCCTACTGTGTACAGTGAGACCTCTTTTAGGGACGTATTTCCTTATCAGTGTCCCTTCAGGCCAAAATTCAGCCTTCCACACTGTATCAAAATCTCCAAGTGACACACCTACCTTGAATGAAGCATATGTAGGGTATTTAGTTTCTAGTTTTTCACACTCAAGGTTATCGACACCGCCTTTCTTTACAAAATTTTCAAAGGATTCTTTAGTGACATCGGGTTGAACTCTTGAGACAAATAACCACACTTTTTTTTAAACAATTTTTAGGCCTTCATCTTCCGATGAGTCACCTTTACTCTTTGTACCAATCAAGGGCCTATTGCCTTCTGATGTCTTCTTTTTCACTGAAGGATTCTTTACAGCATCTGCAAAATTTTTCCTGAGGCTAGGCTGTTCACCACCTAAGCCTACCTTATTATTTTTGCGCCGGCTGTTGGGATAAGCAAAGCCAAAGCCTGCACTGTCAGATTTCAAAGGGTTACGACTGTGAATGTTGGGGTTATTACCGGTAGATTGCTCTACTTCCTCATCCCCATTGTCTTTAGAACAGTT